GAAATCAACCTTCTCCTGAGCCTAATCTACCCAGCTATATCTCCAAATAACTTGTTTAAAGAATTTCCCTGCACTGCTATGGCTGTAGTAACGTGACAAAAAATGCCTGACCCCCAAAAGTAACTTCATCCAAAGATAGAGAGGGGATAATTTAGAACACACAGCAGAGGAGATATCATTCAATCTCTCACAGTGTGGCTCAGCATGGAGACATTAAAGCTGGATTGGAGATTCGCTCTTCACAATGACTTTGTATTCGTGCATAAGCAGAGAACACGACTGGGAGGTGCCGTGTGCTCTTGTTACAGTGCTCCTGAACATACTCTCGGACTGCGTGTTTAATCCACATCGTATGCAGTATTTCTGAAGGTGAGTGATATGGGAGGATTTAGCATTTTGTCTTGCCTTGGGGGAACCAGAGCCCACACCACTGAAAGGGCATTAAAATGAGAACACCCAAAGGGTGATTTGGCAAGCACAAATGGAGAATATCTTTCAGACCCTGGTGATATGCAGGGACACGAGGAGTCACTTGCGTGGCACATTGCCTGAGAGGGGGCTTGTTGGTTCTTGCCAGGAAATTGTTCATTTGAAGAAGCAGTGTTAGTGTAGGATGTGTGTAAAGCTCATCTCTTCTGAGCCATCAGAGAGCAGCCTGAGCAAGTACACAAGGATCGTGCCGGGGGAGGGGAAATTACAGAAGGCATTGCAAATGAAAGTTCCATGTAGCAAAGAAGTACGGACTGAAGTAAGACCAGGACCCGCACTCCCCACTAGCCCCGCACAATGTCCACACAGGGACAGAGCCTACCCCAAGAGACAGTCACCTGACATTTGATTTTAGGCTGAACTTGCTGTGTGTCAAAGCATGCAGATGTGCCATTTTTGTGGTAAGGTAAGCTGTTATGCTGGAAATTGGTGGTGTGAACCAACCCAGCTACACTGTGGAAGAAATGACTGGCAATCTTTTTCTCTAAAGATTATAGTAAGGGGGTAGTAATGGGGACAGTTCTGTTGTGTAACGTATGGGGTTTCTTTGAGTCCTATCTTGAAAGTGATGCTGGAAGCTGCAGATTCTGCTGGGAGGTGTTCAGTCCTCTCTCTATCAGAGGACAGTAGAGTCCCAGGACTGTGGAGCAGGGGTCCAAGACTGGATGTGGGTTGAAGGGACCACCTAACATAAGAGTACAGGCGTTCATGAAGTCACTCCCCTCCTGACATCTCCTGAGTCAAGTGGCTTACTTGGACCTGGAAAGTCAAAGGATAGAGGGCACCCCCTTCTGTAGAGGGAGGAGAAGCAGACCCTCCCTGGGGCCTAGGGGAGGACCCTTATGACTACTGCAGCAGCCTCAAGGAACCCGAGAGGCTGCTGAGCCATGTCCCTGCTCTCCCCCCTGGAAGTGCCCAGACAGAAGTACCCCCCAAACCTAGCAGCACCCCAGTAGGGAGCCTTTGTCTTGGCCAGAAATCTCCAATCTTGCTCCCAGGTGGTCTCAGGGGACCAGGTAGAAATTCCTAGCCCTACTCTGAGTCAAGGTCTGAAACCCATGTGAGAAATGTTGAGCCTCCAAACCCAGAACTTATGAGATCTCACATGCCTCCCCCCACTGCCATTACTCCCACTTCCAGGCTCTGGCCTAGCAGCCTACCCCTCCTCTTTTGCCAACATGGGGTGTGCCTCGCTCTCACTGCTGACTGTGAGATCTCAGGAAGGGGTGGCCCGTAGTCTGAGGGCTGGGGCCTTAGGTTGCCTATGGATGTGGGTTCCAGCAATGGTGCAGGGTCAAAGTGATTGCACAAGTGTCCAAATGTGGACCGCTGAAACCAAATGGGGATGGCTGCACTGAGCCCTGGGGTGCTACCGATTCTGTGGGCCAGGATCCAACTGAGAAGTACTGAGGCCCTTAGACTTTTACCACGGGGTCTCAGAGAGATGAGGACCTTCCTGTCAGCCCAGTTCAGCAGACAGAGGAACTCTGACAGCTGGTGGGCATCAAGGTAAACATCCTTTAAGAGGAAAGAAATAATAGGTCCCCTGCCTTTCTTCACAAAAAGAAAGAAAACTACTCAAGATCCCCACTCTGTGATTAGCCTTGGAAACCTACCCCGAGGGAGGTCAGGCTGAGGGTCCCCATGGTCTGTTGTGTTGTGCATGCTGGTGATCTTTGGGGATGTGATTTACTGTCACTAATGGGGAGGCCTGTACAGCAGGATGAAGAGACTGAGGGTCTAACAGAAATCGAAGTGAGCACCTTGAGTTAACAGGTGACTCCACCTTCTAGTGATTGGCAGTATCATAAAGCCCCACTTACCCCTGGGGACCCTGAGCGCTGTTGAATAGAATTTACTTCCTCCCAGGCATTTCAAGGAGGTGAGAGACCTATTCTTCTCAAAGGGCAGCTCTGGTGATAACTCTGACAGAGGACTGTGGCTGCCAAGGCACCCAGGACCGAAATCTGACCTCCCGGAACCATTGTCACTGTGATGCTCTGTTAGCAGTGGTGTCTGAAGAGTTCATACCATTTTTCTTTCTGACCCCCAGAGGACTTTATGATGTCAAGATCTGGGTTACAAAGAGGGGTTGGGGGTGGGCAGGGCCTTGCCCACAATTGACCTAAAGACTCTGAAAGTGAATGTGAAGACCCTCCACTGGCTCCTCAGAGGCAATCCCCACTGGCAGCCTTGTTGTCAGGGCTTTAAGTACCTGAAGCCTGACGTTCTCTAAGGGCGTCTAATGCTGTAGCTTCGTAGGGCAGGGCCCTCAAAGAATTCTGCATTGTCAGCAGAGGCTTGTTAAGGTCAGAGAAGCATCTCCCTGCTGAAAGGGCCACACAGCTCATCTCCCTTCTCTCGCGGACCCATTTTATCTCTTGTCCTTTCACACTCCTGCCTGAGGGCGTTTGTTTGTTTTTTGTTAACCCAAACATCACAAAAATTTGAATTCAGTTTTAATTTTATCATTCTTCCTTTTATAACCATTTATAACCAGTTAGACCACTGCTTTCATCTAGCAGGTAATAAAAACAGATAATTAGAGTTTCTAGGCCATGACCTTGCACTTTTTTGTTTCTTTAAATTTTTCAAACTTATTACTATGTTTTATTATTTCCCCCTTTTATTGGAAGAGTAAAAGACATATAACGAAAAGCATGCGATACGTCGTTGAATAGCCCATCATCAGAACAGTGACTCTATCGCAGTAAATCAGCCTTCCCCTTCTCCTCCCTCCTTCCTTGGCCTTCCCCTCTCCCTCTTGTCTCCATTCTCACCCTGTTGTGTTATTGTTGTTAGGTACCGTCAAGTCAGTTACTACCCATAAGGACCCTGTGCACATAGAATGAAACAATGCCTGGTGGTGTAGCAGTTACACAATGGACTGCAAGCTGCAGGTTCAGCAGCTCAAAGCCACCAGGCAATATGTGGAGAAATATTAAACTTCCCAACTCTTGCTCCCTGACCTGTATGGTCGCCGTAAGTTGACATCTACTTAATGGCAATCAGTTTTGTTTTCTTTTGCTTTTATTCAGTAATAAACACATTTTCACTATATTAAGTTCATAATAATATAGGGACATTCTTCCATTTATATAAGATTCTTCAGTTTCCTTATAGAGAAATTTCATAGTTTTCTGTCATAAATTTGCTCTTTGTCTGTTTAATTGTATTTTGAAATCACATTTCTGGGAGTATTTATTGTAATGATTTCCCCCCTCCAATTTTCTATTCAGATCTGTCTCCTTTAATGTACAACAATCCACTAGATGTTTCTATGTTGACGATCCAGCATGCTATGTAGCCATATATTAAATTAGTGTCAGTCATTTTTGAGTGTTTGAGGGTTTCAATATACGGATTGTGTCATTTGCAAGTAGACTGCGTTTTGCTTCTTTATCCACGTGAAAGCTTTCATCTCTTTCTGTTTCTCTTAGCTCTAGTGAAGACCACCTGACTGCTGTTCTTGAGGAGTTCCATGATGGCTACCAGTCGGAAGATCAAATTCGACTCTCTTGAGAAAATGTGTCTGTCCCTAGGTGGCACCCACAGTGTCCAGAATGCTCAGGTCACTGCAGCAGAAGAGGAAACGCCCTCCACGTCTCCTACCTCTCCTTGTTCTGAGGACTTTCCCCTGAGCTTCCCTGGTATACGGGTCCCAGACTTACCACAGGCATTCCTGTACACCACTCTGGATAGACAAGATGCTTTCATTGCAAGCATTGCTAAAGTTTCCCAGACTCAAGGAGAGGGAAATGCAAGTGCTTCTGAGGCTGTTGCGACTCCTAGTAAGAATTCCCAGAGAGATCCCATTGTCCAGAGCATGAACATATTGGTGCAGTTCTTGCTGCGCAAGTATAAAATGAAAGAGTCCGTTTCCAAGGCAGAAATGATGAAGGTCATCAACAAAAAGTACAAGGAGCATTACTCTGAGATGCTGAGGAGGGTCTCTGAGCACATGAAGATGGTCTTTGGGCTTGAGATGAAGGAAGTCGACTCTACAAGTCAATCATATATTTTGACTCACATTTTATAGATTACCAGGGAAGGGTACCAGGGGGTTTCCTAAGGTCGGCATGCTCCTGCCCTTCTGCGGATAACCTACAGGAATGACTGCCAGGTACAGAGCAGGAGATGCAGCAATTCCTGAATTCACTATGGATTATTGATGGGAAGAGGTACTTCATTTTTGGAGAGCCTAAGAAACTCATCACCAGAGATTTGGTGTGGGAAAATTACCTGGTGTACTGGCAAGTGCCCAATAGTTTTCCTCCATAGTATGAATTCCTGTGGAGTTCCAGAGCCTATACTGAGGCCAGTAAGAAAAAGTTGTTGGAGTTCTTGGTCAAGGTCAATAATATTGAAACGTATGCTTTTCATGTACTCTATGAATGAACTTGGGGGTTTGAAGGGAGATCAATAAACACACTGTGGACTGGGGTAAGTTTTTGTGCCAGGGCAAGGGCCCATGTCAGGGTCAAGTCCAGCAAGACCTCCGACCCCTCATGAAAGCTGGCAGAGTCGCATCACTTTGTTGTTAAAATGATGGTAGGCATAGTAAAGAGTGGGGCTGCAAAGAGGTTTTACCTTCACCTCCCATGCACAATTAGCCTATAGATTGAACTCTGTGGGATTTTTCTTTGGATTTTGAAATGCTGTGCTTTTTACTGGATGCTAATTTAGACTCTGAAGACACAATAATTGTTTGTAAAATGTTTTTTTAAAAGGGTAGACGTATGCTTTCTTTACAAAAGATGGTTACTTGGCTCTTCAGTCAGAAAAGCAGGAACTACTGTATAAGGTTGGATGTGGGTTCAGAGTAAGGGAATCCTCAGAAATGGCAAGGAAGTCCACAGTCAAGAGCTTAGGGACAGAGGGTGATATTGTTGGACGGGAAAAATTACTGGTTCCCTGATATCTTTTGTTTAAGTGAATAACTATTGCATTTGCTTAGTTCATTAAAAATTTTTGGAAAAATAAAAGGTGATGATTTACACATCTTGTTCTATGGCTCTTCTTTTCCACAAATCATTCCCAAGAATCTACATTTGGAAGGTTTCATGCTTGTATTGAGCTCTTTAGGAGAAAAATTATCCATCCATTTAAGCAACCACTGCCTTAACAGCAATGATGAAACGAGGAAGCAACTTAGTTACTTTTGAAGACTTGAGTTGGGAAGAAGTGAACCCACTTCTAGGTTCTCTCTGAGGTAATGTTTCTGGCCAGGTCACTTTGGGTCTTTGAGACACTTAGATCTTGGAGTCGAAGGCCAATTTAAGGCAGGCTGCTTGGGTTGGAAAGGGTAGGAGCTTGCCTGTGGTGGGAGTAGATGAAAGTACATCGAGGTGTGCATGGCCAGACATTCATTCTCAATTTGTCTTCTAGTGTCCAGGCATGGCCCGCAGTGGAGACTGCCTCTGAGCCCATACTCACGGGTGGCGAGTTCACCAGAGAGCCATCCCCAGCTGGGGCAGGAATGGCAGGTGTCCAGTGCTCTGTTCACCGTGCACTTGAAGCCATGCATGCATTCTGTGTTCTATGTTGATCATACACTGGGCATTTGTCAGTGATGGTGTGATACTCCCTGGTGCGAGTGTGATGTCAAGAAGTCAAAGCTCAGTTATGTTCATGGAGGATGGGGGATCAACAGCCTGCTCCCCACACCAGACATTAGAATTGGAATATTTGGGCTGACATTTAGTATATTCCAAGTGAAAACCAGACTTTCATCCCTGGTGATAAGGATGGGAAACTGGGCTGACATTGATAAAATGGGGTACATGTGGATCTTGTCAGAAATTCTTGGAGCTGTGCATTGCATTGAGTTACAGAAGTCTAGCCCATGCCCACAGCTCCTAGTACACCTCCTACTCTGGACTGACTCCTGTCCCCTGACCACACTACTGATTTCCTCCAAATAATATGTGCTCTCAAGCCTCCCACTCTCCCTGTGGCTATAATGCTCTTTGTGAGCAGATTTTTCTTGGTAATTGAATGGATCTGTGTTAATATTGGGGGTGCCTAATTTAATTTGTGTGAGATATAAAGAATTCAACTGAGAAAGTAACCAAGACGCTTTCTTGCTGGACAAGGGGGATATTAGGAGGCATAGCACATGGCAGATCTAGGAACCAAGGAGTAGTGGCTTATATGAGCATCAGGCCTATGCACTACATTGAGAAGAAATAGCCCAAGCCTATCCAAGCCAGTTGATGAAGGCATCATTGGACTGTGGTTCACAATTCTTGATTGGAGAGTGCTCAGTCAATGGCAACTCAAAAGGACCAGATAGAGGCTATATATACTCACTGTACTCTGAAGACCTTCAGTCCAGTGCTTCCTTTCTGAAGGAGAATTGTTCATTTTCCCCTTTTCCAAATGGGATTGTTTGTGTACATGGTGGCCAGTCTTATAGCAGAACAGGATTAATCAAATCAAATCATGCATTTGGTCCTCAACAGCTGTCCCATTCTTTTCTACTTTTCTTGACAGTCTTTTCTATTCTCTACCATTGGGTAAATTCATGGTACTATCAATGAATCTATCATACTCCCAAACAAAATGTCGTGCAGCAGACAGCATTAGAGCTTACAATCAAAACAAATGGACCAGGACTGGATAGTGTCTAGTGTTCTTTTCCTAGTCCTCTTGAAACCATGCACAGAGGGAGCCTTTGATTCATTTGATTTGTTAGTCTTCGTAGACTAGAGAAACCAATCCATAGAAACTCCTATGTGTATAAGAGAGAGTTTTATATAGAGGGTAATTGTAAATTAAGAATGCATCCTTACCCTGTCCTGTCCAAGCCCTTAAGTCCAATGTTAGCCCATAATGTCCTCTTCAGACTCATGGAGCACATGCAATGACACCGAATGCAGGACGATCACAGGCCAGTGGGTAGACAGTCTTTGGATCCAGTGGCATTGTAAGCACCTCAGCGCTGGCAGGGGTCTCCACGTGGCTTCTGAAGTTCCTAGGGCACGGGGTCTATCAGTGTAGTGCTATGTGTCTTGTCCTCAGGCATGTCTCCCATGACGTGAGCAGAGAGAGTGTGTGTCTTCTGCCTCCAAGGAGGAAAATCCAGGAATTCGCAGCATTCTCAGGAGAAAGCCATGCCCACACAGAACACTAATTGGCTATGACCCCACGGACAGACTAGGCTCTACCCCTTCACTCTTAATCCTCTCAAGTCCCACATTGACACCAGTTTAGGTAAATATCCCATTTGATATCATGGACATGTCAGAGTAATGTGCTCCCGTACCCTTGTGTTTGATGTCAAGAAGCCAAATTCTTGTCTGACCCCTTGTCTCCTATGCAATAGAAGTAAAATATCTTGAATAATAATTGGTTCAGTCAATATGAGCACTAAGTTCTGTTACTGGTGATATTAAAATTGGGGCGACAGGGATGTAAGGTTTTATGGCAGCAATTTTGGGGGAATTTTGATTAGAGGACCCTTGGTTTCCATTAACATTGAATGAAGTCTGTCTAGCTCCCACCTACATGTAATAACACACTCCCTACATGAAATGAATCATGTGCTCTAAAATATGATTTGTCATTCATCACCTCATATTCATGGTTAAAATGCATCTGGACACAGGTTTTCTTTCTTAGAGAAGTAAGTCAGTTGTAGCATTGGGTGCGTCTCCTGCCCGTCCTCTGTGAGTTGATAGAGTGATAACTAAGCCAATACGCAATGGTCCTCCAAACCGAAAGGGGGTGAGAATTGCCAGGGACATGAGATCTCTGAGGAACAAGGATGTCATGCCAGACAAAAGACAAGACATTTCCCTAAAAACCAGTAGATATCAAGGAAGTCTTCCCCTAGAACCCATGTTCCAGAATCAGCTTTCTATTTTCCTCAATTGTGAAAAATTAAATCTCTCTGTAGAAGCGACCCCTTTGTATATTTCTGCTCTATTAGCCAGAGCAACTGTGGCATTCCTAATTGCTGGTAAGGGGGCTCCCTCCTTGCTATTAGCCCATAGCTAGGTGTCGGGAACCAACCAATGTGTCCTGCACAAGAAAGACTGGCTCTCTGTTTCTGTCAAGATTACAGCCGAAAAACAGAAGAGACAGCCGAAAAACAGAAGAGGCAGCTCAGTTTTGTTACACATGGGCTTGCCTAGGCTTGCTAACAAATCCTACATCAAGAGTTTAAGTAAAATGTCACTTAGGTGTTTATCCTAGTATCCCAGGCTTTAGTCTCAAGAGAGTATTTCCACTTCTGCAGACAGACAAGGTTTTCCCTTAACTGGAGTTAGGTATAGACCCTGAATGAAAGGAGAAAGAAATTAACGCCCCCCAAATCTCTGTCCATACCACAAACCTAAGGGGCAATCTCCGGGGGCTAACGCGAGGTATTCCCAACCTGCTCATCCTGACCCCCAACCCCTCCATAATCGTTTTCACAAACCAGGTCCTTGTAAGAAACCTGGAGCACGGAGTCTGTCTCAGCGGATACCCCACCCTCAATGACTGAGCCCTAGGAGGACCATGGGAGGAGGACTCAGGACAAAACACTGTGGTCTCATGAGACCTGCCTGACTTCGGCCCTCGGAGAATCCCCAAGAGCCTCATCCCCCGGTGAATTTCCAATTACCGGATGTGACATCGAAGGCTCTCCAAGTGGGATATGGCCTGAGAAAACGCACCATCGGCTTTCTCTGCGCTGTCCTTTCTTCCCAGAAGACCGTAGACTCCAGGACTGCATCAGAGTCCCGCTAAGGAGGCTAGATGTGGTTTGAGGGTCCAACTCACCCCGAGCACAAGTGTCCCTTGAAAGCCCGCCCTTAGTGCAAGCTCCAGAGCCAAAAGGTCCACTTGGACCCAGAATATCACGTTGACATACGGGTTTTGGTTTAAGAGATCAGACCTCTCTGGATTGGGAGGAGGAGCAGACCCTCTCTGGGTACTAGGCTGGGACCCCTAGTGCCACTGCACAGGCCTCCCTGAAGCAGAGGGACCGCCAAGCCCCGCCTCTGCCCTCCACGCTGGGAGTCCCCAGGCAGAAGTGGGGGGACAGTAAGAGGGGTCGGGCCTCAGACCAGGTCTCAAAGCACCACCTCTGCCTCTAAGTGGTCCCAAGGGAACAGAGGGTGACATCCCAAGCCCTAACCCAGAATCCAGGTCTGAATCCCAAGTGAGGAATGAAGGGTCCCTGAAATAATAACTCACGAGGTCTCAGGACCCTCCCTGCCAAGCCACCGGAGCCCAGTCCCCCACCACCATGTTCCGGTTCCCATCCCTCGCTGCCCCAAAGCAGCCAGCACTGGCTGTGCCTAGCTCTCAGTTCTGACTCCCAGGTCTCCTATAGGGGTAGCCCTTAGTCTGAGTGCTGGAGGGGTGAGATGGTCAAGGTCTGGTCTCAAGCCATCAGTGGATGTAGGTCCCCACACAGTTGCAAAGTCAAAATGATGCTCCCAGTGATGAAGGGGATGGCGTTCAACCTTTGAGGGGGAGGGTTGCCCTGAGCCCTGTGATTGCCATTGGCTCTGTATCCCCAGGACAAACCTGGAAGTACTGACACCCATAGGCTCCTGCTGGTGGTGCTTAGATAGAGGAGGGCCTAACTTTCTGCCCAATTCAGCAGACAGAGGAAATGCAAAGTGTGGGGACTAGAGCAGGGGACAAGGTAAGACTCCTGTAAGAGAAAAGAGTATTCTCCATGCCCTTCTCATATTCACTGCCATTGAGTCCATTAGCCTCAGAGACTTGACAGCACTTCTGGGTTTCTGAGGCTGTAACTCTTGACAGGAGAATAAAGGCCCCTCTTTGTTCCTAGGAAGCTGGTGGTTTCAAAATACTGACGTGTGTTTAGTAGCCGGATGTAAGTCCCATGGACCAGGGCACTCCACGAGAAGCAAGGTCGGAGGGAGAACAATGAAGCTTTCTATTCCTGTAAGGAGTTACAGTCTCAGAAACCCTCAGGGGCAGCTCTCTCCTGCCCTATAGGGTGACTATGGGTCAGATTGGGCAAGATGGCAGTGATTTTGGTTTAGGTTTGATTGAGTAGATGCAAGCGACTGAGTCTGTAATGGTGGTAATCAAGGAGAGGACATTGAGTTGTGAGGTGGTGACTCCTCTTCCCACTAATCAGTGGAGAACAGAAAGCCCCACTCCCTTTTACCCCTGGGGCATGTGGGCATGCTGCCCTAAAGACTGCACTCGCTTCACGAGAGGTCATCTCAAGGAGCAGAGGGACCTGGTCACAGGGGACTGTCATGTGAGAACCCTAATAGGGGATCCAGGCTGCCAAGGAACCCAGGGCAGAAAGGCCTCTCTGTGTCGCAGCCAGAAAGACACCCTGCCAGTACTGGGGTTGGCTGTGTTCATGTATTTTCCCTGTGAGTCTCAGAGAGATTTGGGGTGTCAAGTTCAGAGTAGGAAAATGGATGGACCAAGGCCCTGCCAGCAGTGGATGCAATGTCCATAAAAGTGTACTTTGAAGATGCCCCCACTACCTCAGCCAAGCACAGGAGGACCCTCCAGCCAGCCTGCCATCATCCATGTAAGCCCCTCTGAAGGCAGGCAGTGTGAAATCTCACAGCGACTCAGACATCCTGCTCTGGTTCCTGAACAGGTGAGCAGAGCACTGTGGGTTCCCAGAGCAGGATTCTCAAAGAATTCTGCATTGGAAACAGGGTGGTTGTGAAAGTAAGGGAGGTATCTCCTTGCTGAGGGGCTTACTCACAGCTTCTAACTTCCTCTTCTTTAGTGGAGCCACATTATCTTTGTCTGGGCCTGCTGCTTTTGATGAGATTAATCATGCCTCTTGGTCAGAAGAGCAAATTCCGCTCTCATGAGAAATGCCGCCAGGTCTAGGACCAAGATGACGCCATGTGCATACAGTTGGCCCTGACCACTGCCACAGAGGAGGGAAAAACCTCCTCCTCACCTTCTGCTCCTTCTAGGGATTCTCACCAGGCTTCCTTCTGTGCTCCAAAGCCATGTGAGGCAGCTCCCCCCACCTCCAAGGCTGCTACAGATGCTTCATGTGCTATAGCTGCTAAAGGTGCCCAGAGCCAACATGTGGGCAGGCCAAATGCCCCTAAGTCCACACCTTCTGCTGAGAAGTCCCAAAGAGACCCCCTGACCAGAAGGGTGAGCCTGTTGTTGCAGTTCCTGCTGTTAAAGTACAAAATGAAAGAGCCCATTACCAAGGCCGAAATGATGAAGATCATCACTAAAAGGTACAAGAAGCACTTCTCTGAGGTGCTGAGGAGAGCCTCTGAGCACATGGAATTGGTCTTTGGCCTTGAGCTGAAGGCAGTCGACTCCAATAGTCAAACCTATGCTCCGTTCAGTCAATTGGAGATCACCAAGGAAGAGATTCTGAATGGTGAATGTGGCTTTCCCCAGGCTGGGTTCCTCATGCCTCTCCTGGGCATGCTTTACATCAACGACAAGAGGGTCACCTGGGAGGAAATGTGGGAATTCCTGAATGAGTTATGGATCTTCGATGGCCCTCAGCACTTCATCTTTGGGGACACTAGAAAGCTTGCCACTGAAGTTTTGGTGCAGGAAAAGTACCTGGAGTATTGGCAGGTGCCTAAGTCAGATCCTCCATGCTATGACTTTCTGTGGGGCTCTAGAGCCCACACTAAGGCTTGCAAGAAGAAAGGGATGTAGTATTTGGAAAAGATCAAGTTTATCAATACCACTTCCTTCCAAGACCTGCATGAATAACCCTGGGGAGAAGAGCAAGAATGAGCAGAAACTGCATTATGTGGGATGGCTGAAGCCAATCCAAATGCCAAGGCCAAGCGCCATGTTA